TTGAGCAACAACACACGTGGCTATTAAGCTGATGGCCTTTCATTACAACCAACTTGAAGTTGCCTATATATATGGTTGAAGAACAGCAACCAGCTAGTTGCCTATATATATGACTTGTTGCATGGTCGACCTTGACATCACTTCATCAACAAAGAGCTTGAGTGATATATACATGACATGCCCCTCTCTTTCAACTCCATAGCCCAAAATCAACTTGGGTGATAATAATATGTAAAAACAAAACAATGTAACTATTCTCCTTTTTCTCCAAGACGTAGTAGGCAGCCAATTTGTAATACCTTAAGGATCCCCTGCATACTGAGTAAGGCCACGGCCATTTGGACAATTATCAGGTGTCAGTTTGTAAAACTCAGAATTAGCCTACCTCAATTGTTACAATACCAGTCACTGACAATCACTTGGATTCGATCGCACCACACATAATGAGCCATAAAAAAATCCAACAAATTTCAGTTCCATGCATGGGCCTCCATAGAGCTTATACCACTTGTTCACAGCTGGTCAAGCTCGACAGAAACAGAGATGCCTAGACAATTATTCAGAACAATAGATTTCTATGAATAAACACTAAGCGATATGATATATCATATATATGAAACCAGTGGTGTCAATGGCATGAAGCATCACATAATAGTTTCACTTTGATAAGTAAAGTATTCCATCTTGTTTATGTCAAATGCACATCCTAAATAAGAGTGGGGAAGTAATATAATAGACCTGAGCACATTATTTTCCGCACTGAGGTTACAGCGCAGCAAATCAAAGAGAGAAGATCCGCATTGTTAAATTTTGTGTCAGAAAACATATTCTGCTAGCACTTGCAGCTTGAAACCAAGCATGGCAATTGACAACTACAAGCTATGGCTTTTCAAAGATGGAAACAAACAATGTGATTCTCAGACTGCAACTGTTGCATCTTCAGAAACCATGCTGACCCACATGGGCAAAAATCCTAGAAACAAGTTGAAAGCCTCATTTTTTTAAGTGCGTTCACCCTGTCCCTCAGGTAATACAGCTTAGCTCTCCTCACTTTCTTCCTGTCCAAGATCTTGATTTCTTTGATGTTTGGCGAGTAACTGAACAAAAAGGAGAAAATCGCATCAAGAAAATTGTCCAAACAAATAGTTTATAGCTAATTAGAAGAAAGGCAGGTGGCCACTCAAACAATGAAAGATAACAGCGGCAGGTTTCCCTTAAAACCATAAAATAAAATTTGATGAAATCTCAAGCCAATCTAGTATCGTATATGCATTGTCATATGTAATGATATCTTTCCATGGTTATGCTAGCTCTAAATATTAAAGTTGAATGCTGAACGAAGCACAAACATCCTGATAATTAAAAAAAGAAAGAAAATGCATATAAACTACTACTCATAGCATTCTTTCAATGTATTTGTTTCCATGGCAAATGCAGAGCAAAGAAAGAATATGCTACAAATTCAGAATTGAGGTATGAGCATAACTGGATAATGTGATTATGAAACTATAATCTCCACTCGTACTAGGATGCTTGCTAACAGGGCACAAGCAGTTATGTCCATCATTCTGCAAAATGGCCAATCTGCCTATACTTTTCGGTACATCATCATTAACTTGCTTCAGGGTAGTTTAGCTATGTGTCATACCATGGTTAATATAGTATTCATGGGTTGATTACAACAAAAAGAACCAAACCTAACGACCTGAGCACAGTTTTCCCAGTTTTGCAAACATCCAACTACATTTCTCTTGCAGGAATCACACATACCACATCTACTGTTTAACTGGCCTTAATTTATCAGAGTATATTGTAAGGTTATGCACAAACAGAGGACAAGAACTCCATGTCTGCCATCATAACAGACAGGAAGAAAGGACCAGATAGTAGAAACACGAAGTTTAGTGGTTGTTGAAAAATTATCAGGTATCAATGAAGAAGTTAATTCTGGCAGCACAAGAATATTAAAGAATCTATATAAGAGTACTTCAACCTCAGCATAATATGTTCCAAAACAAAGCAGCGTATAAAAAAGTATAAATTACAGTAAAGGAGCACATGTTTGGATTGACTTACAGTGGAAAGACAGACTCGACTCCAACACCAGACACTAATCTACGCAATCTGAAGGTTGTATTGATCCCAGCATTGCGCCTTCCTAGCACAATCCCTTTCAATGTCATCTCGCGCCGTTTGTTCTCAGGAACTTGCTGTTCAATCGCCAGAAGGATCAGTACCAGAAACATATCCGAACAGCGCTAAAGCAGGAACACAAAGAAATGATATACCAATCTCATCTGAATCATACATCCAGGCTGCACATCAGGAATCTCCCTCTCCGCGCGGACCTTTTCGACTGCCTCTTTGTTCAGGATCTGCATAGTCAAACAAGCAGATTTATCTTTTTGTGGTGATTTTGTAAGTGTCACTGGATGTAACAAATAACAATATAGTCCCTGCAAGTATGTAACACTCACTCAGGTTACATACATTCATAATGTGCCTGGCGGTCTTGTCGGGCCTCTTGAACTTGATGCGCGGGTGGTGCTCAACCGCAGGAGAGGTGGAGTCGTCCGAATCAGAAGCAACCTCAGCAGCATTCCCCACCGTCGACAAACCCCTCGTCGCACCGAGAACTTTTGCGCAGAGACCGAAACCGGAGACGGCAGCGGCAGGAATGACCCGGCTCTGCACACGACGGGATTGATCTACCCCGATCGAGCGAGCGAACCCGTAAGGCTGCCTGAGGTGCTTGACGGCCGAGGATGGCTGCGCCGCCCCCGCATGAACCGTGGCTACAGGGGCAGCGGCAAGCTCCAGGAGCCTCGCCGCCGCTCCACGGCTTCCGGCTCGGCAGACATTCCGGACCAAAGATTGCATCCTGACGCCCGTGCCCTGCGAAGAAATTGCTCAGTAAACCATGGGCGAATCGAATCCAGCATAGGACTGTTTTTTTGGGCGAAAAATCGGAGTTATATGCATGTCGTTAGGCAGGGGCGGATCCAGTAAAGAGGTTTAGGTTAGGGTTTCGGTGCTCAGCTTCGCACAGGATGAAGGGAAGGGAAGGAAAGGGGTGGGAGTACCTGGTGGGTGGTCGTCGCCGGCGAAGAAGAGACCAACGAAAGCCTCAGCACCTGGCTAGGGCGGCGGCGGCGGCGGCGGCGGGACTCGGAGTACCACGCGGAGGGATGAAGAGGAAGGAAGGGGAATGCAGCGACGGCCGGCCCAGTCGGGTTTGTTGGGCGCACTCACACGGGCTTTCTTCTGGGCCGTCCTTTTTCACACATTTATTTGAAAATTTCTTTTTTATTTCTCTTTCTCTTCCTTTTAAATTTTCTATTTCTTCTTGATTTCATATCTATCCACTTCATGGGACACTGCCAATGGCTAGTTCCAGCGTCTCTAAATCAAAATGCAATGTAACATTTTGTATTTCTTTCTGTGGTAAAAGAACCAAGCTTACAAAAAACCAAGCTTAAAGCTTGCATGAGCTACAAGACCAAGCTTATGCTATGGGTCAGCAAAACCAAGCTTACATGAGCTACAAGACCAATGTACTAATAATTCTGAATGTTTACATTGTGTTCAGAGCGTGATTTTCCAGATTCTGCTATAAAAAGAGCAATCGTGATCAGCGAATGTGATCAGGGGTTTTAAGTTTCTAGCATTCCATTTTTTTTTTAAAATGGCTTGGATCACAGAATGAATTCCGTTTAAGATTTTGTTTGGAATTGGAATTCAATTTTGTGTGATTTTCCCCCAAAAAAAGTATTTCCCAATTTCACCAACAAATTCGTTTTTGGAATATTGTGGCATACTACCGACTTTATTTGCTATATGAACCACTATGTACTGAACTGAAAGTGAACCATCACGGCCATGGTTCAAGTATTCCTATGATGGCGATGGCTATGTATCACGATCTGAAAACAACAGCAGCCTATAGATAGAAGATAGATAAAACTTGTTGCCAATCAAGCATTCACACCTGGGAAATGAGCATGACTGCATGAGTAATCCTCCCAAAATGTTTTGCATTGCACTCAAAATGTCTTTGATCAGGTCGGCCAGACGCAAGACAAAGATAAACTTGTGACATAGTATGTGATTGTGAATGATGTCTCTCTTCCGACAAAATTTTATGGGGACAAGCTGAAAACCGCTAGTTAGGTCATTTCTTCATTCAGATAAAATACAAAATGAGAGTTTTGCAATAAAAGGTGCCATATAAGTACAATAGTTTGAAATTAACATGAGATAAAAACATCTGTAACAACTAATAAGATCATAATTTAAAAGTTAATAATCTAAAATTATGACATCATGAGACTTGAGTTGCAACAAGACACCATAACGATTCATTCAGAAAAAGAGCCACCATAACCTAAGATTTTTTACTAAGTGTATGTTTGCATACGGAAGACACGTGTATGTTTGTGTATCGAAGACACGTAGAGGTGATGCAAAATAAAAGTCTATGATACGGATGGAAAAACCTACGAAGTAATTGATAAATTTAGTATATAGCCTGATCGATATTACATAGCATCTATATTCATAGTTGTGTTACAAAATGAACATAAAGGAGAGCATAAGGATAGGTATTAAACATGAGTTAATAGTTATAACAGCATTTTTTTAACAAAAATAGTTAGAATAGCAGTATCTCATGGTACAGTGTTTTTCTCTCACAACAAAACAGCATCAGCCGACTTATCAACCGCAAAAACCATCAACCGAACAGCTCCGAAGCATAGTGTTCTTTCAACAAAGTATGCAGGCAAAAAGATAAATTAGCTATCGAATCAATGAACGCAACAATTATTTAATAAGCACTAAACAGTAGAAGAGTGCACATGGCTCGCGCTACCACCAGCAGGCATCGTCCGGCGACGATGAGGCACCACGCCTTCAGCCCTTCACATGGCACCACTGCAGCGAGGAGATGGTTGTAGTCACAGTTCCTGCCATCTCGGCATTTGCCTTCGTCTTGAGCCTCTTTATGCTCTCCGCAGAGAAGTGAAGAAACATTCCTGCACCGGGGTGTACTTGGGTCGCTGGACGATGTCCTCCATCTTGCCGAAGGGTAGAGGGACTGGCACAGGGCAGGTGTCGAGGAACCATCTGTCCAGCACAGGCGGCGGTGTGGACAGCTTATACCCTTCACCTCCACCGCTGCTGCGCCGGTTTATCTCTGACCAGGTGTTGAAGAAGAGCCAGAATACGGCCCCATCAGCGACGCCATGGTTGAGCGACATGGCAATAAAGATGCCATCTGCGAGCTCGGTGACCTGTGCGGCCAGCACAGGGAGGGAGCTCACGACAGCTTCCACATTCAGCAGCCTGTTCAGCGGGAAGAAGGACCACACGACTGACGGGATGTACACTGGGGTGGTTATGTGGCTCACGGTGACCTCAGGAGCCACGGCATGAATGAACTCGGCGCCTTCACCGTTGCAGCAGAGAGAGATAGCAAGGCTTGGACTTGAAACACCGTCCGTGATCTCTGAGGCAGTGAGACGGCCAGCCAGTGGGTAGAAACGGCCCAGCGTGCTAGCGAAGGACGAAGCAAGGTCGTCGATGAGTTGTGCACCTCCTGCCCCGGGCTTTGGCAGAAGGATCCCCTTCTGGATGTGGTCCACCGTGATCAGCGCGAGATCCCATGGAGTCAAGTGAATGATCTCTGGCTCTGACGGCACCATGTTTGGTGAGCTTGGACCAAACGCCTAGACACGATTTGGACACTGCCGGTGGAGCCTTCCATTTTTGTCATTATGGTTGCCAGTTGCCGCTCCAGGCTGCTGAGTAGACAGCTTATAATCTGAGACACCCACTTAAGTGTGCCCAACAGAATGCTGCCTTATTGCCGTATCTGATACTCTGGTAGTGGTACGCAAAGCATGGCCTGCTACTTACTTTTCTGAAAATGGAAGCAATCACCATTGTTAGTTTGGTTCTCTTCTAATGAGAAGATTCCAGAGACATAATGCATTATTTTTTTTCTACTACACATTGACAGATAAATCCCAACATATTTGATGTCCCAGATTTCCAATGAAAAAGCATGTGGGTCTTTCTAAGTCAGTCCATCCCCATCCTTTTCCATGAAGGTCCAATGGAGCAGTATCACTATTTTATTAATATAGGTTATGAGCTACTGTAGTTTTGCATAATATAATGGAAATAAAGATTCAATACCAATAAACTATACAAACACAGTAATCAACGGATACACGAAAAGGACAAATAAAAATAAACACAATGATTGTGTGATAGGCTAAAGCTAGAGGCCAGAAAAAAGAAAAGCTAACAACAGCCCCCGTGTCCAAAAAAACTACTGAGATAGTGAACACGCCTTACACTTGACGGCTGCTGGCAGCTGGCCTCCATGCACAGGTGAGCAGCAGCTTCAACCACACACCACACTGGTTATAGGCTAGAGGAGGAGGAAGAGGGGTGGCAACTAATTGTGTTCTCTCAGTTCCATTCCATAGAGTATATACATCTAGGAGTATTAGCTGAACAACTACAAGCTAAACTAGTACCATGGCTGAGATCAGCCTCAACTACTCTACATGGCTTACATCAGCCTTGATTAGTGGCCTGTTGCCATACCAGCTGCAGTAGAGAGGGGAGAAGAAAAGGATAGCAAGGAATTGACATATTGCCAACTTCCTGCAGCAAAATACAAGAGCCCAGCAGCAGATTATCTTACAACAGCCTACTCAAACAACCTCAAATCAAATGAAAAACAAAGTTTGAAGTTTTCTTATGCTGATATGCTCCAGTAAAAAGATTATCAACTTCCATAAATGATTGAACAAACTTACCAGAGCTCCTTCATTCGTGCAATTCAGAGGTTGGCCAGCTGCTCCAGAGGCAACAGAGGTGGTAGAGTGGTTCTGAAATTGCAATGAGCATGATGAATCACATGAGTGCAGAAACAGTAAAAGAACAGTGTCAAATGATAATAGTATGCAAATTTTTATATTACCGTGCCCAAATTGTTTGTGATCGTGCTTGAAGGTAGTACTGGAAATGACATCTTTAATTTGTATGTAGCAATGCAAGGTCTTCTGTTAAAAGAACAATCAAACAAAGAGAAATCAGTGCATCAGACGCCAATATGGTCCTCATGTTTGTAAGAACTCGAAACATAGATTGCTAAGATTGAGTCCCTTTCGAGAAAAGAAAGGGCACAATGGTTCAGTCCAATGCCTCTACTACTTAGCACGAGACTACAAGAGGTAAAATGACCTCTACTATCTTCTTTAATATCTTGCTATGTGAGACAAAATACCACAGAATCAAATCAAGAACAGATGTAAAAGAACCTGGGAAAAAATCCAAAGTGCCAATTCAGAAAATTGTAGCTCAAAGCCTCAAATAACTTCTATCTAGGAAATTATACAGCATATCAAATTTGCTGTATAAGTTCATCCCAGTTATAAGTAGTTCAAACCTCAAAAACGAGCACGTGTAAACAAATATCTCTAATTTCTAAGCATGTAGACAAAGTACCAGCAAGTAGCATGACAGCAAAAAAAAACATATTACCTCTTCCATGATGCAAAGAACACAAGTTGTTAAGATATTTGCCTAAAATGAAAGCCATGATCCCAAAAAAAACTATTGGATTCCAGCTTTACTGTTACCCACCAAAAGCTTCATTGCATTTCACTTCCTCACTACTAGAGAAATCAGTATCTGTCATGTCATCAGACAAGCCTCCATGCATACTGCCGTTTAAGCAACAATCTTGTTCGACTGGACACATGTCATATTCTGACTCCAGCAAGGAATGAGTTGGAATCATATTTAGCTCCATGACGCTCATTAATGATCTAAGCTTAGCTAGTTCTGGCCAGCGCTTTGCTGATATATACATGTTTGCAATCAATTTGTAGTGACCGGGGTTGTTTGTCCTCATGGCCAGCAGCCTCTTTGCAGCTCGATCACCAACTTCTGTTTTTCCATGGATCCTGCAAGCCTCAATTAAAGTTGCCAACATCGCGGCAGTTGGCTGGAATGGCATCTTGTTAATTATCTCCTCAGCCATACTCAGCAAACCCTCACGGCAGTACAAATCAACCATGCAAGAAAAATGCTCCACCCTTGGTGCAATGCAAAACACATCAAACATCTCAGCAAATAGTAGCTGACCTTGAGTTACCAGCCCAGAGTGGCTGCAGGCTGAAAGAACAGCAACCATAGTTACATGGTCCACCTTGATATTGTTGGCGATCATTTCATCAAAGAGCTTCAGTGATAGATTCCCTTCTCTTTGCATTCCATAGCCCAAAATCAGTGAAGTATAGGCATGCCTGTCTTGAGATTGCATCTGGTCAAACACTCTCTGGGCAGTTGCCATCTGTCTAGACTTTGAGTACATATCGACAAGTGAGTTCTGCAGTATGTTAGAGGCACCAAGTCCATGCTTGAAAATGTAGCAGTGCATTTCCCTTCCGTGACAGAGGTGTCCAAAACGTGCACTAAGTGAAAGCATAGTTAACACAGTAACATCATTTGGAAAGACAGAGGAATAAATCATCTCTCTGAAAAGCAAAATAGCTTCCTCAACCTGGTCCATGAATCCAAATCCTGCTAGCAATGAATTCCATATTACTACGCTCTGAGTTGAGCATGATCTGAACAGGTGATATGCAGAGCTCATCATCTGGCATCTGGAGTACATTGTGATCAATGAACTCTCCACGTGCTCAAGCCTATCAAAGCATAGACGGACAGACGCAGCATGCAACTCCTTGCCAATCTTCAGATACCCACCCCTAGCACATGCCCTGAGGCCGATGACAACAGTCACAGAATCCAGCCCCGGACCATGGCAACTCCTCATCTGCCACACCAACCTCATCACGTCACCGTCGTTCCCCGCCTTAAAATTTCCAGCCGCAACCGCGTTCCAGGTGACAATGTTCGCCCCAGGAACCCACTGCAGCAGGTCAAACGCCTCGCCCCACAAACCAGCCGACGCGTACCCAGACACCATGGCGTTCCAGCTGACAACATCCCGCGCAGGCATTCCATCAAACACCCTGCGCGCGTCCTCCATCTCCCCGCACTTGGCATACATCCCCACCAGAGCGTTCCAGACGTACATGTCCAGACTATATCCCCACGACCGAACGCGCTGCTCAATCTCCCGGCCAACGGAGGCATCCCGTAGCTCGCCGCAAGCGCGCAGAACCGACGGGTACGTGAACCTGTCGGCGGCCACGCCCAGCGCCAGCATCCTGCGGTACGCGAGGACCACGTCGCCCCACAGCCCACGGTCGGCATACCCCCAGATGAGCAGGTTCCACGGGAACGCCCGCGCCTTTGCCGCCGCACGCTCGACGGCGGCTCGCGCGGCGGGGAGGTCGCCGAGCGCGATGTAGAAGGTGGTGAGCCTGGGGAGCACCGAGGGGTGCGCGCCGAGGCCGAGCGCGACGGCGCGCGCGTGCGCCTGCTCGCCGGGGCGACGGGCGCGCTGGGACGTGCAGGAGCGTATGAGTGATGAGAGGGAAGCGGGGGAGAAGTAGGAGGCAGGTGGCGTCGGCTGCGGCGGGGACGGGTCCTGAGCGGGGGTGGCATTAAGCCAAACGGGTGGCAGGCAGCGGCGGATGCGGAGGAGGTGTTGCTTGGAGAGCGCGCCGCGAGGAGGCGGCCGTGGGCGCATCAAAGGGGCGGCGCCTCCGCCGCCTTCGTGGCATCACACCTGGCCGCCGGCTGAGAAGGAGGCGGGCAGCGCGCAGCGGGAGAATTGGGAGAGGAGGAGGGAGCCAGGGAGGCTCTAGGCTCTGGGCTCTGGGCTCTGGGCTCGGGCGTCTGGGGCTCTCGGCGCGCCAAGACGCCTTGGTGGGCCCACCAAGTCGGGTGGCACTCCAGGGCTATGGGGACGGGCTCATGCCAGGCAACGAGGCTGGCCGTGTGAGCAGAGTACAAGCTCTTGGGCTGGCCCATTACGGACATGTTTCTGCTCTGTTTGCGGAATTTTTATTTATTTTCATATAAAAAAAAACAGTCGTAGGATTGGTCCCATTTTCTTCATTCGTGTAGGTCCTCTATGTTCGTGTGTAACCACGATAGAACTATGTGTCAGCAGACGCCATGCTGTTACTACGGAGAAGAGGACCGAGGATGGGGAAGGCCCGCAAGTCCGGCCCAGATCGCCAAGACAAAGGAAGCCCAATCCAGTTCATCGGAGAGCAATGGGCAGGCAAAAAGCGTGAAAGGGCAAGTCCCTTAATATAAGGAAGGAGAGAGAGCACTCGTGAGGTACATGGATGTAAACAAAACTCAAGTTACTCTACTAAGATTCATCATCGCTACCTGCTAACTTCTCCTCCACGCCTCCTTTTCCCCCTTCTCCCGACCTCCGCCTCTCACAATTGGTATCGAGACAAATGCCCTCGGCCTCCAATTCCGTTTCCTCACCCATTGTTCCCCATCGATCGCTTGAATTCCACCGGGTTTTGGTTGGTCTAACCACAGATCGAGGCACGTGGATTTACTGACTTGATTCGGGATTCCGTAATTCCGATCCAGGAATCGCGATTTGTGGTGTGCGTCAATCTGGATCGAGCCTCCCTCTCTTCACACGAACACTATACCCGCCGCCAGAAGAAACTCGGGGCCATGGATCCGAACCAGAAGCTCCTCCTGGATGAAATCGACAAGCGCATCGTCGCCCGCTTCGACGGTCTTGAGCGCCGGCTCGACGCCTCCGCCGATTCCTCCTCATCCAGACTTGATGCCTTGGAAAGCGCTGCCCGCTCGTTCGATGAGTGGCGCCCCGGCGTCGATGGCTTCATCGACGACCTGCGCGTGGAGGTCAAGCTCCTCTCCTCCCTGAAGCTTGAGGTCGGGAAGATCTCCAAGTACATGGAGCGCTCCATGGTGGATGGGCCATCTCCGACTCCGGGTGTGCACGGGTCCGTTCCTGACGTGCTCGCCCCCAAGCCCTGTCGGCTCCGCGCCTCCGGTGGCTCCGCCCCCCTCCGCAATCAAAGTCCTCCCCACAGCACTCACGACCAAGTCCCTGCGCCATCACCAACACACAATCTGACCTCGCATGGGGAATTCAAAGCGCCACAGACATCTCAAGGGAACATCACCAACAGTCCCGCGGCACCGCTTGATTTTGGGACCCGGGACGGTGCTTTGAGTGCCCACCACTCTGATTCCACCGCCCAAAAGGGTTCATCTGCCGACCTCCTTCCATGTTTCCTCTCCGTGTCCTCCGCCTCGCCCACCACATCCACACCACACAAGACCATTACGAGGCCGGTCATCGGGGATTCTAGAGGGATCATGGAAATTGCCTAAGTTTGATTTTCCTAAATTCGACGATGACCACCCAAAACTGTGGATTAAGCGGTCATTCATTACTTCAAACTCTCTGATGTCGAGTCCACTGTGTGTGGCTATCTGCCCACTATGCATTTCTAGGGACCAAATAGCGGCTGGCTCTCTTTAGTGGAGGAAGAGCTTGAAAATCGGGGGTGGGATGAGTTACATGCACAATTGTTGTCACGCTTTGCACGCGACGAAACACGAACTCCTTCTCCGTCGTTTGTTCCAAATCCGCAAAGCGGTCCATTTTACGAGTATATCGAGAAGTTCGTGAGGTTTGGTAGATGAACTCAAAGCTTATGCTAAACATCCGCACCCTCTTTACTATGTTCAACGTTTCATTGACGGCTTGCATGATGAAATTAAAGTCTTATGGTTCACAAGCCGCCTACTCTCGATCTTGCTTGCGCTCTTGGCTGAATTGCGGGAGGAAGCGTTGGGGCTCACTAAACGGCCATACTGGCGCTTCGATCAAGCCAACTTCCAAGCCCGGGTGGGGCCTCCTTGGCCTTGCCGCCACCACCTCCACAAGCTCTCAGTGCGGTCAAGCGCTGTGAATGTCGCCCAAACGACGATTGATGACAAGATGCAAGCCCTTCGTCTTTGCTCGTCGCTCGAGGCTCTGTTATTATTTGCGGCGCCAAGTGGAGCCGGATCATCGATGCTCGAGAGAGCGATCTGGCTTCACCTCGTTCAGAACTTTGGGATATTCAATCTCGATGATGCGAGATGAGGAGGGCCCGCGTCCCCGACGGCGTCCCATATCATGATGCACCTATCGATGTCAAATGGTAGGCTCAACTACATGGGCACTCTATGTTTGTCAAATCTATTGAGGCATAGCTATCTCCATCTTGGTCGACTCTGGCAGCTCACACTCATTTACGAATGCGCTCGCTCGATCGTTGGTGGGTGTTCAAAATCAGCTCAACCTATCGGTGTTCGTAGCTAATGGCGATGTCACTCGATGTTCAAATTGTATTCCTGCGCTCGTTGGGAGGTCTAGGATTACTCATTCTCTATTGATCAGTTGTTGTTTCCATTGTCTACTTATGATATGATTTTGGGAATTTTGGATTGGTTAGGCGATTTCACCCTATGCACGCTTCAAACGGTCTCATCAATGGATGGCCATACCTTATCGAGGCTCTACTACAGTTTTTACTAGGCAAAATCTGCGTCGGTGCCATCGAGTTCGATCATTCGATTATGTTTGGTGCGAGATTCAGCCGAGAACCTCATTTAGCTATTGCTCATTTGCGATTCTGCGATTCAGATTTACTCTCGAGTTTGCATATTGTTTGAGCCGGCTTCCGGTCTACCACCACGCCGTGATCAGACCACGCTATTCCGTTGATTCCCGTGCTCATCCGAAGGTGAGAGCCTTACCGTTATGCTCCCATGTTGAAATCAAATCGATTCTTGACATGTTGCGGCAAGGCCTCATTCGAAAAAGCTCAGCTCTTTCGCTTCTCCATGCTACTTGTCAAGAAGAAAGATCAAACTCAAGCGTTTACGCTGACTACCGCCATTGAACGCAATCACTACGAAGGCCAAATACCCGGTTCCTGTCATCGAAGAACTGTTGGATGAGTTAGCTGGTGCCAGTGTGTTTTCAACTCTAGACTTACAATCTGGTTTCCACCAGATCCGGCTGAAAGATGGCGAAGAACACAAGACAGCGTTCCAGACACACTTTGGGCAATTTGAGTTTTGTGTGATGTCCTTTGGCTTGACTGGTGCTCCTGGCACCTTTCAGGACGCCATGAACATGACTTTGCAACCATGTCTGCGACAGTTTGCTCTAGTATTCTTTGATGATATATTGGTGTACAGTCGGTCTATGGAAGAGCACCTGACACATTTGAGAATGGTCTTTGAACTCTTGGCTCACGATCATTAGCAGCTCAAACGTTCCAAGTGCACCTTCGCACAAAGTCGGATCGCTTACCTGGGTCACGTCATCAGCGCTGACGGTGTGGAGACTGATCCGTCCAAGTTGGACGCAATTGGAGCATGGCCGACCCCTACGTCGACCAAGGAACTCCGGTCCTTCTTGGGATTGGCCGGCTACTACCGCCGTTTCGTTCGTCACTTTGGCATCATTTCAAAGCCTCTGTCAAATTTGTTGAAGAAGCATACCTTGTTCATCCGGACACCGGACCACGATGCATTCCGGGCTTTGAAAGCGCCACTGTGCGCCTCCTCTCGTCTGCCCTTCATCAACTTCGCACGACCTTTCACCATCGAGACCGACGCCTCGGATGCGGGGTCGGGTCAGTGCTCATGCAAGACGGTCACCCGCTTTCGCATATCTTAGCAAGGCTCGGGAACTAAGTCCAAGGGCTGTCCACGTATGAGAAAAGAATTCTTGGCTATCCTTCTCAGTCCAAGCTTGGTGTTCCTACCGCAATTTCAGGAATTCGCATTCTCATCGACCAAAAGAGCCTTACTCAACCGACGGATCAACGATCGCATACCTATTGGCGAACGAGTCTTCTCAAACCGATTGGACTCCAATATCGGATTGTTTATAGGGCTGGTTCAGAAAATCGCGCGGTGACGTGTTGTCTCGACACCCTCGGCCGCCGGCTGTTTGCAATGTTGTTTCCTCTGCGGTGCCATCACGGACAATGGCGGTCGGCCATAGTTACCATAATGATCCTTTTGCGATCGAGCTGATCACCAAACTCACACTGGATCCTGCTTCGCTCCCAAGTACTCCTTTCGGCCAAGCATCCTTCGTTATTGCTCCCGCGTGTGGGTAGGCGCTGATTTTGGGCTGCAGCGGTCCCTCATTACACAGTTCACTCCGGCTCTTGGGGTGGACATTCCGCCATTACCTATGCTCGACTCAAGCAATGTTTTGCTGGCGTGGCATGAAGACCATTGTCGAGAGTTTGTCCAAGCTTGTGTCACTTGTCAACAATCCAAATATGATCGAGCTAAACCGCCAGGGCTTCTACAACCACCGCCAGCATTCACTTCGCATGGCAAGTTCTTTCTCTTGACTTTATTGAAGGACTTCCAACTTCCCAATCATACAATTGCATCCTCGGTGGTCGTTGATCTCCTCACTAAGTATGGACATTTCATCCCTCTTCGCCATCCTTTCTACAAAGAAGGTGGCTAAGGCATTCTTCGCCAATGTGTACCGGCACCATGGATGCCTCACTCCATCATCTCCGATCGAGACCGTATCTTCACAAGCCATTTTTGGTCGAGCTGTTCCAGCTTGGCCAATGTCGAGTTATGCGCGTGCGCCCTACCATCCATAATCGGACGACCAAACGGCGCTCAACCAATGCCCAGAGACGTATCTGC